TTTAAGCTCCGAATATCGCTGGCAATCATATACCATCTCCATCCGTTTCTCCCATTCTAGATACGCATCAGGATCATTCTTTCCTTGAAAAGATGGAATCTTCATCTTGATGTTGCCAAGCTCATCATCTTCTCGACGTCTAAATCCTCGGCATCCGTTTCTCCTCTCAAACCTGCCATCTCGATCATCTTCTGTATCGGACACATATGCATCATCAAATTGCCGCTACCACCTAGGTTGTGCCCTAGGCTCCTCTCGCTGATTTTGTGGCCTCCCTCGTGGTGGCTCTCGATCATCTTCAAGTCTCGTCTCACATCTTGCAACTCTGTTGCTAAGTGCTTCAATTTGTAAACTCAATTGCTGAATGCCTGCTAGAATCGCATCATCCCTTGGATGAGTGCGATCCTCCCTTTGATTCACACTTCCCTGGCCTGAGCCTGACATTTTTTTTTTTTAAACCTGCAAGAAAATGTTAGAGATAAAAGAAATCTCACTAGTCACTCCCTCACGTTTTCCGCTCAAAGTGTTTGTCACTCCTCTCGTGTTTAACTCAATTTCGGCTTTTTCTTCCCTCAATTAGACTCACACACTCTTGCCTTTTACCTCTCGTTTCCTTCTAGCAAGCTCTTTTTTTCAGACTTGAATCCAGTCTCACAAGCTCCTCACAACAATCGATAAACCACCAAGCAAGATCAAATTTAGCAATATACCGCTCAACTCAGCAATTCAGCAAATTTTCGCTAATTTCGGATTCAGATTCAATTTCTGCTACTGAAATTTTTTTTTCTATTCGGTCCAACTATCAATGATAAAAACAAACGAGTCGTCCTCTTGAAATTTTTTTTTTTGTCGAAACTTTTTTTTTGGCTTTTTTTTTTGCCGATTTTTTTTGGCTTTTTTTTTGCCGATTTTTTTTTTGGTTTTTTTTTTTGACGAACTCAAGTACAATATAAAAAAAAACAACTAGGGCCGAAAACCCTAAATCAAAATTGAAATCACAGCAAAAACAAATTCAGAACCCTAATTCGATTAATAACGAAACCCTAACTCTGTAAACCCCATATTGATGAATGAAAAGCAGTAAAAGTAGGATAACTAGACCTTGTAGAACTAGCTCTGATACTAGATGATATGAATCTATGCGGAAGATGATCGTTCTACGAAGATCTATGAGTTACGAATTGCTGACCTCGACCCCCAATCGAACCTGTGATTGGTAATCTCGGTATAAACGCGACCTGTTGACGAACCTGTGTCAACCAATCCACGCTATAATGCCACGAATAAGAGAATTCGCGATCTTGCTCGATAAGTTGAATTCGATCGCCACAAGGGAGCCTTGATAAGATCTAGTCCTCAAGAGAACTCAAAAGAAAACTTCTCTATATAAAATTCTGTCTCTTAAAAATCTATAAGCAACCTTATATAGGGTGCTAACCCTAATCCTAATCCTACTAGGATTAAAATTACAAAAATAACCTTAATTGCTAAAAATTCGTCCAAAAATGGAAAAAGGCCTAAAAGTTCATCTAAACGACTCCAAATCGCTAAAAAACGTCATCAATCACTATTAAAGTAGTGAGTATTGATCAACGGCCCGTTTCCAAGCGTCTATCCAAATTTGAGCCAATTCGGAGTTTGTTAATTCTAAGCTCCTTCGGAATTCGCTGGATCAAGAGTAATCATATTGCGCCAAGGAGCTTCGGAATCTTCAAGTTTCGAATCCAGATTGTCTCCATTCCAAATATCTTGAACCATGATGCCGACAGCTTGTTTGAATTCCTTCGCTCTCGCTCGAGTGATCGGGCCTAGCGGATAGAACAACGGGTCCCTAGCACCTCCTCCTCGATAGGGTTCGATGTCCACATCAATTACTGAAATGCTGATGGAGTAAAATAAGCAAAGTTATATTGCGTTTGTAAAGGTATCCTTTGAGGAGTGGCCAGGTTAAGCCTAAAACTGGCAGGCGTCTAATGCAAAGCACGCTTGAGCTTCGATCCCTTATCTTTCCTCTACAGCATTTTAAATAACAGTGTGTTTCGCTAGAAATGTTCTGCGACGAAATATAATTCTCCGAAAGTCATTCTTTAGCTTTTATGTGAGAGAGGATTAGGTTCCGTGGCAACTCTGGACAGAAAATATCTAGGTGGACAAGAAATTATTGCGAACTTTTACTTTGAACTTCGAATCGGATTGTACATATAAACCGTGCCGGAATTTAATCGACGATAGAGCTTGAAAATACAGTCACACATGTATATAAAGATATAACGCCGGAATTTAATTGACGACGCAAATCGGAAAGCTATAGCTAAGGAAAAGTACACTACAGAAAAGTAAAGATAATTGAAAAATAAATTGTTGATTGATTTTTGTCAGGGGCTGGTCTCTAGTAGATTGTTGGTGATATTTATAATGGTTGTGCGGTAACTCCTCCTTAGCGATTTTCAAAGGTTGTGCCCATGTTCTTCCATTCCGAAAATCTTGTTTTCATGTCCGTGTGATGCCATGATCCTGCTTTTAAGATAACTGTTGCGTTGAGTCCACTATCTTGACGGTTTATTCGACTCCACTACGTTGACGATTGCTTCGACCCCATTATGTTGACGGTTACTTCTACGATAGCTATATCCGAGATTGTCGACTCCACTTTTTGTCAATTCCTTCAAGTTGGCAATTCTTCACTGAAGTGTCTATCAATTTCAGCACCCTGACTAGTTACGACCGCCGACTTCCTTTTAACATCGACAACTCTACAGTGATTTTCTAAGAAAACTCAAAACATAAAAGTTGTAAATCCAGGAGTCTTCGTTCTTTTGGCTTTGGAATCAGGTCAATCCAATCTGTCTCGAAGAAGTTATGACCATTTTCCCGAGCTAGCGCAAAACTGAAATTTTTGCACATTTTCCCAATCTTGTCGATAATACCCAAAAATTGATCATCTTTGGGTGTAAACATATACACATTACACATGTCTCTAACATGTGTTCCTTGATGATCTTTGGTACAAATACTCATAGATTACGATTGAACCATCATCGATGCACTAAATGGATATCACTTTCTACAATCATCGCGGGACGTGTAATTCATGCCTCTATCATATATTTCCCTTGTCGACAAATTGGCCATTTTTTGGTGTAAACACAATGATCACCTTTGATGGTGCCTTGTTCATGTATCTTTTCCCGTTAAATTTCTTCTGTGGGAATTTGTCATGTTGTAGCATGTCTTTGACACATGTTCTCCACTACAAAAAAACAAGGGTTTTGCCACGAAAAATTTAGCAAAATTCGTGGCAAAATGAATTTCCAACGGAATTAGCGACGAAAAAAAATTCGTCGCTAATTCGGTGTCGCAAATTTTTGTGACAAAAAATTTCAATTTTCGTTGGTAATTTGCGACCAAAAAAAATTCATGGCAAAATTCGTAGGATAATTCGTTGCAAAATTCGTCGCTAATTATTCATTGCAAAATTCGTGGCAAAATTCGCCAGTAATTATTCATGATAAAATTCGTGGCAAAACGAATTTCCGACGAAATTAGCGACGAAAAAAAATTCGTCACTAATTTGGCTTCAGAAATTTTTGCGACAAAAAATTGTAATTTTCGTTGGTAATTTGCAACGAAAACAAATTCGTGGCTAAATTCGTTCGTTAACGAATTTAGCCACATAAAAATAAAAAAATTATTTTTTTTTTGAAAAAAAAAGTATATAAAAAAAATCGTGGCAAAATTCGTCGCAAATTAGCCACATAAAAATAAAAAATATTTTTTTTGAAAAAAATATTATATAAAAAAATCCGTGACAAAATTTGTCACTAATTTGCCACAAAAAAATAAAAAGAATAAGTTTTTTTTTATCACGTTTTTTGCGACGAACTTATTCGCGACAAAATTCGTCGCTAATTTGCCACGAAAAAATTTTACTTTTGCAACGAATATTGTTCCGGAACGAATTTAGCGACAAATATTATTTAGGGACGATTTCGATTTTAATTTCTAGAATTTATATTTAACATTGATTAAGCAGTTAATAACATCAAAATATTATAATGATATATAAATGAAATACATTCATCAACATTTGCCACACGAATGACAAAGTTCAAAGTAATTCACCTCCTTAATCGATGTCTAGATGATAATTTAGAAGCAACTATCAGTGTTTCCCTCTCGCCTACTCCCACTGTGTTCAACACAACATATCAAGACTGATTGAAAACTCAGTAGCTTAGAGTAGATCGCATATTCTGAAGAGTGTGTTTGAAGGACTGCCACACATTAATGTTGTTAAGTACTTCAAGCAATCTTCTTGGATCTGAACAGCCATCACGAAAGTATTCAGCGACCGCAATATTGTGGACCTACATTGCACTAATGTTTTTAGCTCAGACCATGGTGATTTAGGCGAGTTATACAAAAAGAACGACTTCTTTATTCAAGAAATTCCATATATAAGCACTAAAAGAAAAGGCAAAGCACGCACAGTCAGGAACAGCCCAAGTGGATAGGAAGTCAGAATTTCAATCAAGACCCAGAAATTAAACCTCAAACCAATAGAAGATACAGCATGCTTACCATGTAGAAGAAAAGCTCACAACAGACCCAATTTACCAAACATGCGAATCCGAAACTAGAATTTGTTTACTGATCAAATAAAGTAAACTGTCTAAACTTAGGCATACAGAAAACAAATATGGTGCCATTATCGAGTATACAGTGCAAGAGCTAACCCTTTTGGAAATTTGAACAATGCAAAAGCTAACCCTTTTGCTCGACATATTCTTTTCAGATAACAGGGTGAAAAATTTGTTGTTTGTCAGGTTTAATTTCTATGAAAAACAATGCAAAAGCTAACCATTTTGTTTCAAAGAGCAAGAGCTAAACTTGACAAAATGAAACTAACTTGCTATTGCCTCTGCCACCTATTACATGATTTTACAATGTGAACCCAATGTCATCACAAGTTCTCACCAAAATGACAATCGAGAATGCAGCAGCAAAGTGTTAAACTAGAGTTGCTATTTCTGTGTAAAACTCACTGAAAACCTGTTTACCACCAAAAGAGCTTACATACATCATCATGGACTCAGCACCAATTTAAAAGGTCAAATACAATCGGCACAGTAAAACATACCTGGTACATCTTTAATCCTGTTTTGTTATTTGAAGCAGGGTTGGCACTTCCAGGCTCCAATAAATCATCTTCCCCATTGGCAGCAAAAATCCCACTATCGGTGATTTCTTTCAACTTGTAGGCAGAACAAGACTTCCTAGAAGATTACAAAAGCACTATTCTATGAAGAAGAAGACAAGGAAAAAGCCACGATAAGCGGAGTCCAAGTGCAAAGGCATTATGAAAGCTTATGTAACTCTCTTGACAAGGAGGATATAAAAAGGTCACGTGTGTATGAGAGCGTGCCCACAACCAAACATGCATGCTTGTGCGCCTTTGTGCGGGTGCATGTGCATTTGTGCCAAATATTCATCCCCATTCTATGTGTACGAAAAAAGATAGATAGATAGCCAAGTAACTGGCTTTTTAGATGGACATGTTTGTGCGTGCATGTATTTGTAATTGTATATGTAATGACTTTTCTGTATGTACATGTTATCCATGGATTGAACCTTTTCCTAATCTAGCAACAAACAATTGTTTCTATTGCAGCACTTTTTAGAAGGATGTTGACGATGCACTATTTGTGACTTACCAATCCACAGCAAAATGCCATCTCCTTTCCATGAATGGACTAAGAACAACCTACTCTTACATGGACTAGAGCTTTCACATGTCAATAACATATTTCACATACACAAATTGAAAAGACATCAAAAATAAGTTCACATCAGCTAAGCACCTATTCCAATTGTATCTAGATCAGAGTTCGGTAGATTGTCAATGGGATGATCAAATCGGCATTTTCATGACCGCAGAAGTTCAGCAGACATTGAAGTAGCCCCATATGATAGTCGCCAAAGAAATGTTTACTTCTCGAATCTGGACATCTAAGGAACTTACGCTGTCCATCTAATTACTATTAATTGAAGAGCCATTGAATGGAAGGGGAATGACTGGACTATGTCAATTAGACATGAGGGCTTGCAATAGAATCAAGCTCAAGAGGCCAAGGAAGATGAGCAAGCTCGACCTACCAAGGCATCTGAAGTTCTAAGATCCACCCAATTGACCAAGATTACTCCATCAACAGCCACCCCCAAAAAAATTTCCCTTCTTTTGTAATTTAAATGAAGGTGGTAAAGATTATCATGTTGGATTCAAAGTTTCTGCCCTCATTCCCCGCAGATCGATCACTACACATCCACATTGAACCTATATTACACAATCCAACCATAATTTCTAAAGAAAGAAAATCCAAAGCATTGGAGAACATGGAGAGAATGTGGACAAATAGGTAAAACGGTGGCGACCCATTCCGCCAAATGAAACATTGCATTTAAGGGGAAAAAACACAAAACGTCATCAACAAAAAGGGAGAGGGGAAAAAAACCAAGAAGAGCAGATCTAACCTTTTGTTCAAATTCTCAGATTTCTCTGCAGTCACTTGACCTCCAAATACCACCTTGCTGATCCCATCCGAAGGCTAACAGCATCATCCCCCAGAACAACCCGTTAAAAAAGAAAGCCCAAGAAGATAAAAAAAAAAAAAAAAAAAAAAAGGCAGAAGGTGATAGCGAACGCCGCACCTGGTGAGAGCGAGCATTGGAGCGAGAGGAAGCCGAACCGGGCGCGACCGAATCGTGGGGAGGCGGAGCCTCCGATCACGTGAGCAGATCTGAAGTCGAAGTGTTAGGCTTCCTCACCGGCGTGCTCCTCTCCAGTTTCTTCCTTTTCCCCAGAAAAAAAAAAAAAAGGAAGAACACCCAAGAAAGAACTCACGCCAAACACCTCCGCCAATTCGAGCCTCGCCCCGCTCTCGCTCCCCGCGAACGCGGCCCCAAAGAACGGGCTCCGCGCGGCGATGCAGAGCCCGCCGATCCCGCCCCCGACCACCACGCAATCAACCAGTCCCCCGCCGGCGGCCCTCGGCAACGAAGCACCGGATCCCGGCCTCGCCCATGGCCACCGCTCGCCCTCGCCGTCGCCCAGATCTGGGCGACGGCGAGGTCGAGCAGCCATGGGCGAGGTCGAGCGGCGGCCATGGGCGAGGCCGCTCGACCTCGCCCAGATCTGGGGCGAGGGAGGGCTGGTGGGCGCAGAACGGGCGTATGGCGACGGAGGAGGAGGCGACGGCGATGGCGGTGAGGGTGGCCATCATGGCTGGCGGAGGAGAGGGGGGAACGACGGAGAGGTGTTCGGCGGAGGGGAGGATCTGAGGAATAGCAGAGAGAGAGACAGAAAAAAAAAAATTAGAGTGAGGGCGGGAAGCAAAATCAGCGACGAACATTATCTTTCGTGGCTAATTAGCGACGAAATGAATTTAGTGACGAATTTGACCTCATAAATTTTAAAAAATTAAAAAAATTTGCGATGAATTATTTTTCGTGGCTAATTCCGTCGCAAATTAGCCACGAAAAATAATTCGTCGCAAAAATTTTTCATTTTTTTAAATTGATAATGTCGAGTTCATGGCTAAATCCGTCGCTAATTAGCCACGGATTTTTTTCGTGGCTAAATTCGCCGCAAATTAGCCACGGAAAAAAATTCGTCGCGAAATTTTTTTATTTTTTAAATTGGTAATGTCGAATTCGTGGCTAAATCCGTTGCAAATTAGCCACGAAAAAATATTCGTCGCTAATTAGCCACAAATTTTTTTTTCTTGGCAAATTCCATCGCAAATTAGCGACGAATATTTTTTCGTCGCTAATTTTCATGGCGAAATACTTGTTTTTTTGTATTGAAACGGTGAAGGCAGTTTTATATCTGCCCTTTTCATTGATTTGTATTTACCAAAATCCTGATTTCATATCAAATTTATAAAATAATTTTGAATTGTGTAATCTATTCAATAAGTCTTTTTTTATTAGGAATTGGATATCTTATCCATTTCAGAACTGTATTTAAAGGTTTATAGTTGATTATCGATATTAGAACTCCTCTTTCTAATTTAGCATTTTTGTTTACATAGAAAACAGAGCAACTCCAAGGTGATTGGCCCTTTCTAATGAGATTTTTATCAAGAAGTTCTTGGATTTCATTTTGACAAAAATTCATGACTTCCTGATTTATTTAGGAAGGTCTTGCCTTGGTCGGGATTTCTTTTTCAAAAAATTAAGATTCATAAGGTAAATCAACTATATGATATTCTTTAGACAAAAAAGCATTAGGAAGTGTCGAACATATAGAACTTTTTATGCAAATTTCAAGATTAGCAATTATTTTCTTAATAGTAGAATAAGAAAAATTTTGCTCAATTCTTTTATGTTCAAGGTCTTCTTTTAAATATTGAAGGTGGTTTTCTTATTTTGGATAATACAATTTATTTCAGAAACAGATTGTTCCTGAAGTGTACTTAAGTTCTTGGTTTGTGGTTTGCTTATAATATTAAAAATTATTTTCCTTTTTTAAAAATTTGGTCTCGATACCATCATTAGTAATTTTAAAAGGTTGTATAAGTCCTATAAAAGGAGTCCCTATATGTCCCTAAAATGATAATTTTAAAAGGTTGTATAAGTCCTATAAAAGGAATGAAGTTTTATAAGAAGTATTATCTTTTATTATTTCGGCTTCTGGAATCTTATAATTAATATGTAATTTTGCGACGAACTTTTTTGTTCGTCGCTAATTAGCCATGAAAAATAATTCGTCGCAAATTTTTTTTTATTTTATAAAATGTTAGTGTCAAATTCGTCGCTAAATCCGTCGATAATTAGCCATGGAAAATAAAAGCTGTGCTCAAGTCGCTAATGCTCGGGCTTTAGTCCACAAAGGCTGTACGCGAGTCCTCGATGCTCAGGCTCGGGTCCGTGATCAATGAAATGTTCGCTTTTATAAAAATATGACTAAAAAATTTGTAGTTTTAATTATTTTTGAAATTTGAAATTTCTTTCTCTTCTTTTTTTTTCTTTTTCCTTCTCTCTCACCCAGTGGCCAACCACGAGCACAGTCAGCAATAGATCGTGGGCCTCGCCCGAGGCTGGTGAGGTCATCCCTTACTTGTGGCCGGCTACTGGCCATCAGCAGAGAAAAAAGGGAAAAAAAAGAAAAAAAAAAGAAAAAATTCAAATTCTTTGGTAATTTTTAGATTTTCCCTACCAAATGGTAAAAAACAATTTTCATTTCATTTGCAAGCTTCAACCAAATACCAAAAAATATTATCATTTTCATGAAAAATGACTTCTCATAAACATTTTCAAGAAAATATTATATTTTCCGCGAAATAAACATAATCTAAAATCGTGATCAAATGTGTTGGGGTTTGTTGAGGCGGCTGTCGTGGCTAATTTGCGATGAAATTAGCGACCAGATCTGGGCGTAGTCGACGGCGAGGAGGATGGTGAGGAGGAGATTTGGTTCGGGCTTCTTCTTTAGCGAGGAGGACGGCGAAGAGGATGACTTTGCATTTGTTTGCAGGCATTTTTTTGAAATTCGTGGCAAATTTGCCATGAATTTTGCCACGAATTTAAAAAAAAAAAAGCATTTATTCTACTATGTTCTATTTTCGTGGCAAATTTGCCGTGAATTTTGCCAAGAAAATTAAAAAAAACGCATTTATTCTATTATGTTCTATTTTCGTGGCAAAATTTGCCACGAATTTTGCCACGAAATTCAAAAGAACGCATTTATTCTACTATGTTCTATTTTCGTGGCATTTATTCTAATATGTTCAATTTTCGTGGCAAAATTCGTGGCAAATTTACCACGAATTTTACCACGAATTTTAAAAAAAGGCATTTATTCTACTATGTTCAATTTTTGTGGCAAAATTCGTGGCAAAATTTGCCACGAATTTTTTAAAAAGGCATTTATTCTAATATGTTCAATTTTCGTGGCAAAATTCGTGGCAAATTTGCCAGGAATTTTGCCGCGAATTTTACCAAAAGGCATTTATTCTAATATGTTCTATTTTCGTTGGAAAATTCATGGCAATTGCCATGAATTTCAAAAAAACGCATTTACTCTAATATGTTCTATTTTCGTTGGAAAATTCGTGGCAAATTTGCCACGAATTTTGCCACGAATTTAAAAAAAGGCATTTATTCTAATATGTTCTATTTTCGTTGGAAAATTCGTGGCAATTGCCACGAATTTCAAAAAAGGCATTTACTCTAATATGTTCTATTTTCGTTGGAAAATTCGTGGCAATTTTGCCATGAATTTTAAAAAAGGCATTTATTCTAATATGTTCTATTTTCGTTGGAAAATTCGTGGCAAATTTGCCACGAATTTAAAAAAAAGGCATTTATTCTAATATGTTCTATTTTCGTTGGAAAATTCGTGGCAAATTTGCCACGAATTTGAAAAAAAGGCATTTATTCTAATTTGTTTTATTTTCGTTGGAAAATTTGTGGCAAATTTGCCACGAATTTTAAAAAAAGGCATTTATTCTAATATGTTCTATTTTCGTGGCAAAATTCGTGGCAAATTTGCCACGAATTTTAGAAAAAGGCATTTATTCTAATATGTTCAATTTTCGTGGCAAATTTGTCACGAATTTTGCCACGAATTTTAACAAAAGGCATTTATTCTAATATGTTCTATTTTCGTTGGAAAATTCGTGGCAATTGCCACGAATTTTGCCACGAATTTCAAAAAAACGCATTTACTCTAATATGTTCTATTTTCGTTGGAAAATTCGTGGCAAATTTGCCACGAATTTTAAAAAAATGCATTTATTCTAATATGTTCTATTTTCGTTGGAAAATTCGTGGCAAATTTGCCACGAATTTTGCCACGAATTTGAAAAAAAGGCATTTATTCTAATATGTTCTATTTTCGTTGGAAAATTCGTGGCAAATTTACCACGAATTTTGTCACGAATTTGAAAAAAAGGCATTTATTCTAATATGTTCTATTTTCGTTAGAAAATTCGTGGCAAATTTGCCACGAATTTTAAAAAAAGGCATTTATTCTAATATGTTCTATTTTCGTTGGAAAATTTGTGGCAAATTTGCCACGAATTTTGCCACGAATTTGAAAAAAAGGCATTTACTCTAATATGTTCTATTTTCGTTGGAAAATTCGTGGCAAATTTGCCACGAATTTTTAAAAAAGGCATTTATTCTAATATGTTCTATTTTCGTGGCAAAATTCGTGGCAAATTTGCCATGAATTTTGCCACGAATTTTAAAAAAAGGCATTTATTCTAATATGTTCTATTTTCATTGGAAAATTCGTGGCAAATTTGCCACGAATAATTTTTCGTCGCAAATTTCGTCATAAATTTGCCACGAATAATTTTTCGTCGCAAATTTCATCATAAATTTGCCATGAATAATTTTTCGTAGCAAATTTTGTCGCAAATTAGTGAAGAAAAATTATTCGTCGCAAATTTTTCGTCGCTAATTTGCGACAAATTTAGTTTTCATGGCAAAATTCGTCGCAAATTTTGGACGAAAAATTTTTCATCGCTAATTTTCGTGACTAAATCCTTATTTTTTTGTAGTGAGAAAAGAAAAAAGAAACATTAAAATATTTAAAAAATATTATTAAAATATTATTAATAAAAAGAAATTTTGTGCCTTACTAAACTTATTTCTGTTCTTTTTCTATTCCAGGAATGGAAATTTTGGGCTATTACCAAACGCCTTCAAATGCTTAGAATCGGTTTACGGATACAGAATAAAAAAGAATCATTTCTGAGCAGAATCAGTTCTCGGGCACAGAATGGTTGCCAAACGCACCCTAAAACGAATACCCCACTTGTTTACAATCCCCACAAATTCACATGCAT